AATTATGTGTTTACAGGTACTATGCCTCACCTTACTTTTTATTTCATTATTCTTAGTCACCCTGATTATAGTCCAGGCTGATAATTTTCTGGCTTTTAATATGTTTAGGTGGACATGTTGCTTGCAGATCTTAGACCTCAACAGCAAAACTATAGTATTTGGCTTGGCCATTCTTAAAATCCACAGCAACTCTTCACCTGCCTCTTATTATGCATGGCCCCAGGGAATGTTATCTGAAATGTTTCAGGCAAGGATTGTGAAAACAGCAGGCTTTCAACAAGCAACATGTTTTATATAGGAAGTGTTTTTCCTTTCCCTGGTGGTATCCTTTATACATACAATTGTTTTAATGTCTAATGCATCATTAATTTTTTAACTGATTTTTTTAAACCTGGAGCACAGGGAATGTGGGCAAGATATCACATGACCTTTATTGATGACATGCTGAGGTTTTCCATAGATTTACAAGGATAATGATTTCACTATCCTTTCTGTGCAGCAATGTTGGTAAAGGCCATTACCCAAAATTATATAAACGTCATATCAGCCAGTTTCCAACGAGCATTATTGTTTCCATTCACACATTTATCCTGGATGTGTCTCTACGCCAAGTGACCTTTTATGGATCTCATATTACAGTACTCCCTGATATATTATCCTCGTTTGGAAAACATGGTCTTCTCGTACATCTTCCCTCTCAGGGAGCAACTAAGCATGGTGGAGATTTATGATCAGCACTGAGCACAGTGCTGTTGTTTTTAATTAATCGCAGCCACTGGAACCTGCAAATTAGATCAGGATCATAATGTTGCCAAGGACAGGATGCGTGGGTAAAATCTTCCCATGCCTCCTGCACCATTTTCTCGATTGAAATCACACGCATGTATCAAAACTGTTATTCTACCCTATGGTGCAAACACAGATATTTGCAGGGGAGAAAGATTTTAATTTGGAAACTGGTATGTAGGGAAGAGAAATGGCCCTTTCCTCCTAGTAGTTTAAAATCATTTCAGTATTTTCAAAAGTTCAGCCCTACTTTAATGTTAATTTTTGATATGTTTTTAGCTGTTCCATGTTTTTAAATTGTAAGCTGCCTTCAGTCGTCATCATCATCATCATCATCATCATCATCATCATCATCATCATGGTACTAGGGAAATATTTCTTGACCATTCACTGTCTTCCTAAATACGTTTATTTATAAATTATCTATTTCTTTATGTTGTGGCTTTTTATGGTAAGTAAAAATATGATGTTAACAAGAACAGGGAGTGTATCAGAACCAGTTGGGTTAGGGATGATGTATTGTAAATGTTTTGAAGAGCAAGTTTTAATACCATTACAATGAACAATAAACTTAATTCTACAATCCCGGGTAGATGGAAAGAAGCTGACATAGTTTTTATACCTAAAGAAGATCAAGATTTGATGTTGACAAAAACATTGCAGGCCAATATCATTATTCAATAATGATTACAAGTTCTTTACAATGATTTTGTCTGACAAATTGAAAAAGATTCTTTGGGACTTTATTTGTGAAGGTTGATATGTGTTTCTACCTGAAAGATAACTGAGTGACAATGTTAGAAATCTTGTCTAATGTTGGATAACATACTGTATAGAAGTACCTGGAAGAAAATAATAAGTATCAGATTGCATTGATCTTTTGGAATGAAGAAAAAACTTTGATAAAGTGAATTGGACTTTCCTTTTTCAAGTGTTAGAAGAGATAGAACTTGGAGACAATTTTATGACATAGGTTAGATTGATTTATTCAACACAAACAACACAAATAACAATTAATGGAAAGTTGTCTAACCTATGTGAGAAACAAACGGGAATCTGACAAAGATGTCTGCTGTTGCCATTGCTATTTATTTCAGCACTTGAAGTTCTGAACAGAGAGATTAAACAAGATGAAAAGATTACAGGTATTAAGATAAAAAGGGAATCATACTGAGGGCATTTACAGATGACTTTCAGAGATATTAAAAGAATTGGGTGGGGGTTAAAAGAATTGGGGGTCATAGTTTAAAATTAACAAAAGATGTTAATGTTAACTAAAATATGACTACAAAAGATGAAACACAATTGATAGATGGAAATTGGGTGTAGAAATGAAAAGAAAGTGAAATATCTATGTATCATAATGATAAATTAAAATGGTATGAGATATCAAAACAATTATGTTAAGACATAGAATGAAATCAAGAAGGACATGAAGACATAGGAGAGTTTACAATGGTCTTATTCAGAAATAATCTCAGTAGTAAAAATGAATGCTTTTTTTTTGTTGCTAAGATTGATTATCTCTATATGTGTGTGTATGTGTATACACACACACATCAATGGCAGAACGATTTATCCAGATTTATTTGACGAAAGAAGAAGCCAAGAATAAAGGTTAAAATATCATAAGATGCAAAACAATGAGTTCTTGTTTTACTAAATTTGAGATTAAATTTTGCTCCGTGCCAGGCTTATAAAAAAGTGATACAGGAGTCCGATACATAATGTGATGCAATTTTTAAAAACATTAATATCTAATTAAAATATGTTTTTTTCTTCTTTTGCGACTGATGGACAATGAACAGGAAAAGAGAGATGGGAAAATCCAGTATATGACAACAACCACAAGAATATTATGTAGTCAGTCCAAGTTACAAACATCCGACTTACAAACGACTCATAGTTAAGAACGGGACTGAGACAACAGGAAGTGAGATAAATCTACTCTTAGGAGGGGAAATTCACTTCTGGAAGTGTCATCATGGAGAAAAGGTATCTCTTCTGAAGCTTTATCACCAATCTTTGTTTCCACAACAAGCCATTTTTTTCAAAATCCAACCTATCTTGTTCGTAGGTTGGGGACTGTCTGTACTCAGAAAGGGAAGAAAGCTCTAATATCTACTAAAGTTCCAAAACTTTATGAATTAGCAGAAATAGACAAACAGTCTATTTTGATTACACAAAAGATTAAGAACTTGGTCTTTATTTATCAGAGTTTTTTTACATGTAAAATTGCAGTAATAACTATTACTCTGGAACGGAGCAATATGCCATTAGGAAAAAAAAAGACAAAATTACATATGATTGTCTTCAACTCAAAGGACAGGAAGTTAATGCAGTGAGGTGAGTGGTTTGGAAGGAATGAATGCAATTAGGAATTTATATTCTACTACATATGTTACATAATTATATAAATGTGTGTGTGTAAACAAGGAAGAACATGGACAGTGTGGTAAGGAAATTATGTAATGTATAATCGGTAAGTATGAAAGATGTGAATGGCATTATTAATGTGAAAATATAATTTAAAAATGAAACAAACAATGTTTTTGAAGGGCTATAAATCCCAAATGAGGGTGATTTGATGGTTATTGTTTTTATGAATTAATATGAGTTACATGTACAGATGAAGTGTAACTTACAGATAAGATAGACAGTTTTTAAGAAATGACATGTACTTGCATAAAATATAGTACGAAATCATATTTTTCTTTTCTAGTAATAGTTGTTTAAATTAATTTTGCTTGTAGTTTCTGTAGTGTACAGTCCATAGTTTATTTTCGCTCTTTGTGTTTTCAATGTTTATTTCATGTACTGTAGATTTTATTCAATAAAAATGATTTAAAAAGAAAAAATGTGGCAAAATAGCTACGCTCAGTTATATATCTTCCATCACCATGTTTTGTTTGGCCCTCAGCCTACAACTAATTAAAAACCAAACCACAACTTTCTTTGCAGCAAATGTATGTGGAATCCACTGCTCCCTAATGGCTAAATTGAGAACTGCTTTAACACACTGTCTTCAATCCCACCAGTTGCTGCCACAGCAATTTGCATTTAATACAAACCAAAAAAGCAGGCCCTGAAAAGCAGGAATACAATGCAGCTTCAGTTAAAGGAGGCTGGTGCATACCCTTGTGAATCATTCTTTACACAAAATGATTTGTAGCAAAATAGACATGCACTTTGACCAGTTGTGGGTATTTTGGCAGGTCAGGCCACTGCCCTCTTTTGCATTTGATGACCCTTGCCCTGTACACTTTCCCTTCTATATTAAGATGTGGCATGTGTGGCCCTCCAGATATTGTGAACATATCTCTCAAAGTTTCACAGAACATGCACACATGCAACCAAACAGCATCATGAGACCATGGTCAAGATGGAAAAAGTTATTAATGAAAAAAACCCCACAAGCTTGAAGAGGCTGCAGCAATTTGCTTTTGCTGAACATTTTGGGATCCATCCCATCCTATCCTCTCTTCTCCCCCACCCTCTTTTTTTTTTGCTACCTGGCTCCCACTATCCTTTCTTCCTTGCTGAGTTAACTGCAAACTACTTTTGCATTTGGCAGTTACCACATTTCACCATGTAATCATTGCCACTGCATAATAGTTGCACTGCTTTTTTCAGGTGCCAAAATTGTTCATGGGTACGTCATGTAATGTGGAATGCCTGGATTCTTCCTGTGATAGCTAGACTATATACAGTTCATATGCTAATAATACATTGACATGATGAATCAAAGCATGTGTTGATTATGTAATACTTGCACAATTTGTTTTTGTGTAATAATTGCACAAAAAAGCAAAAACTGCAACCATTATGCAGTGAAATATGGTAGTTTGCAGCAAATGATGTAAGCTGAGTAAAAAGCCAGAGGAGTGAAAGGATGAGAGAGAATTTGGGACATTTTAAAACAGCTGAAGAAGTGGAATAAAAGACAATGAATTGGGATGATCTCTGCCAAACAGGGATAGTTGGAAGGGATCACTGTGAAAATAGCCAATGGTGAGCAATGATTAGAGTCAAATAAGAGCTGCAGAGTAATACATATCACATTCCTGCACTACGCTGTCTTAGCCTAGTCACTGCTGAATGTTCTCTCTTTGGTAAATTTGCTGACAGAAGGTGAAATGAGGGAGCAGGGGAACAAGGTTGAGGGATCCTAGCCAAATAAGGGGCTTAGTACCATACAAAGTCTATGTGATTACCTTTCCACAGTCAATGGCTACTCCATCAAACTCAGTGGTAGTCACAGATTTCCGCCGGAGTGCGAGATGCTGCAGGGGTGGGAGACTATACTTCAAGCTCTTACCTTGTTAAAAAAAAGAAAAAGGAAAAGCACAAAACAAAAACACACAGAAACTCCAAATGTAACCTATCTGCAGCATGCATCAGGCAAGGGGTGGTTGGGTGAGAAAGGGAAAGGACAGGAGAGGTAAGGGAGGATTAGAGACACACTAGGCATAGTTGCATTGTGTTCTACTAGGGGATACCACAAAACCTGGCATTTCAGAAGTGCACAACTCAGGAAATGCTCAGTAAAAGGCACCTCTGTACCTAAGATTCAGTTACAAAGGGCAACAATTCTGTTGGCCTCTTCAAAAATCTCTAGAAATTGAACCCCTTTCTGTCAAAAATCTACTATCAAATCAGTTTTCCTTCCACAAAGTCCCTTTACTAGTTTCTTGAAATAACTGTATTTAGTGGCATCTAATGATAAAGGTGGTCTGAAGTGGAAAGTTTGCTTTGGGAAAGAAAGCATTTTTTGTAAAGTTTATAAACAAAGTTAGAGTCCATTGCATGTTAGATTCACAAAGAATAAGTTCTACGTGCAGAAGAAACTTTCTAGCTGTGATTTGATTTTACTGAGTAACTTGTTTACATCAAGATAATTATGACTGCTTCATGTATGAAAATAATATCTATATCCCAATTCCAGTACAGCTCTGGGTGTATCCAAATGATGGCTTTTTCCAGTGATCATTGTGCTTTGAAGGACACAAATGTTCTGGTTTGCCAACCATGCCAGGATTTACTAGTAAAACTCTCAGTGGTTTGAAGTAGATCATCTCCCAATTATTAACTATAGCAACAATGCAAAAACTCCCTCTTGTCCCAATGAGGCAATTTGAATATCTGAAATAATATAGTTATGAGCTATCGCAATAAATGGCTTATGGGATACAACAGGTGATTGAACTTGGCCTCAAGCCACCATTTTAGCTTTGTCTCCTGGGAGTATTTTATACCTGATATTGACTCACGGTATTTTCAAGAAACAGCCTTTCAAGAAACAGTTTATCTTGCTAGTTCCTTGTGGTTTTTGGAACAGCAGGCTTAATCCATATTGGGATCATAAAAGAGGGAAATCGGGGATTAACGTGATATCCCATCTTGTTTTTCCAGGTGCTATGTGCTGCTTGACATTTTTGGGGACAGATGGTAGCTTTGAGGGAGAAAGAATTTTCACAAGGAAAATGACTTGAGCGAAAGGATTAAGCACCTGCTTTCCCATACTGTAGTTGTTTTTTTAATGGCATGTCCTTTCCTAAGCATGCCATTGGGGAGAGAGTAAAAGAACACACTTTTGACTCTCAGGTGTGGAGGGAGACAAGAGATATAACATTGTCTTCTGCTTTTGGAAACCTGCCATCTATTGTTGGCAGAATTCTGAACTAGAGGAGCCAGTGGACCAGCATTGGGTAGTGGTGTCTGTTTAATGAGGGCAGTGAATCAATTCCAGGCTTCAGCCTTGACATTAAATGAGCTATCCAAGGTTCTGAACCCTATCCCTATCTGGTATGTAGTGAGCATGTACATAATCTAAGCTGTAGAATCATAGAATCATAGAATAATAGAGTAGAAGAGACCACATGAGCCATCTAGCCCAAACCCCTGCTATGCAGGAAAAGCAAATCAAAGTACCCCTGACAGATGACTATCCTGCATCTGTTTAAAGGAAGGAGCTTCCACCACACTTCGAGGCAGAGAGTTCCACTGCTGAACAGTTCTTAAAGTCAGGAAGTTCTTCCTAATGTTCAGGTAGAATCTCCTTTCCTGGAATTTGAATCTATTACTCCGAGTCCTAGTTTCCAGGGCAGTAGAAAACAATCTTGCTTCCTCTTCCTTATGACATCCTTTCACATATTTATACATGGCTATCATGTCTCCTCTCAACCTTCTCTTCTGCAGGCTAAATATGCTCCTCATACGGCATGGTCTCCAGACCTTTGATCATTTTAGTTGCCCTCCTTCCAGCTTGTCGATATCTCTTAAACTGTGGTGGTGAGAATTGGACACAGTATTCCAGCTGAGGTCTAACCAGCCCAAAATCCCATTGGCTTTTAAAGCTTCTGCATCACACTGTTGGCTCATGTTCAACTTGTTGTGCACAAAGACTTCAAGACCTTTTCCACATGTACATACTGTTGTTGAGCCAGGTGTCACCCATTCTGTAATTGCATTGCATTTTTTTCTGCCTAAGTGTAATATCTTAGTTTGTCCTTGCAGAAATTCATTTTTTTTAAGTTCTGGCCCAGTTCTCTAATCTGTTAAGGTCATTTTTAATTCTGATCATATCCTCTGAAGTATTAGCTATTCCTCTTAATTTGGTGTCATCTGCAAACTTGATAAGCATGCCCTCCAAACTTTTATCTAAGTCATAAAGATGTTGAACACAGTACTGGGCCCAGGAGCAAACCCTGCGACACTCCACTAGTCACTTCTTTCCAGGATGAAGATATATCATTGGTGAGCACCCTTTGGGTTCAGTCGCTTAACCAATTACAGATCCACCTAACAGTAGCATTGCCTAGCTCACATTTGACTAGGGTTTTTTTTTTTTTGCAAGGAGGTCATGGGGGATCTTGTCGAAGACCTTACTGAAATCAAGATATGCTACATGTACAGGACTCCCTGCATCTCCCAAGCATGTAACTCTATCAAAAAAAGTGATGAGTTTGGCATGACTTGTTTTTGAGAAATTCATGTTGACTTTTAGTAATCACAGCATTTCTTTCTAAGTAATTGCAGGCTACCCCTCCTTAATGATCTGCTCCAGAATCTTTCCTGGTATTGATGTCAGGCTGACTGGACTGCAGTTGTCTGGGTCCTCTTTCCCCCCTTCTTGAAGATAGGGACAACATTTTCCCTCCTTCAGTCTGCTTGGACTTCTGTTCTCCAAGAATTCTCAAAGATTTGTCTACTGACTTCTACTAGTTCCTTCAATACTCATGGATATAGTTCATCTGGCCTTGAAGTCTTGAATTCATTTAGAATTGCCAGGTATTCTTGGACTACTTCTTCACCTGTTTGGGTTGCATTTCCCTATTCACTTAGGTTGAATACCAACTTCTTTTTGGGAGAAAACTGAGGAAATGAGGTGCTGAGCAGCTCTGCCTTTTCCCTGTTAGCATTTCACCACTTTCTCCACGCAGAGGCTCTACCATTTCCCCTTTCTTCCTTTTTCTACTGACATAACTAAATAACCCCTTTTAATTGTTTTTAATCTCTCTGGCAAGTCTGAGCTCATTTTGTGTCTTAGCCTTATGAACCTTTTCCCTACATTTGTTGTTTGTTTGTTTGAATTCCGGTTTGGTAATTTCCCCCCTTTTCCATTTTTTGTGCATGTTTCTTTTAAATCTTAGCTCAGTTAAAAGTTCTTTGGACATCCATTCTGGATGCTTTACACTTCTCTTATTTTTTTTCCTCCTTGCTGACCCTGTTTGAAATTGTGCCTTTAGTATCTCACTATTAAAAAACATCCATCCATCATTATCTCCCTTCTCTTTTAGTATTTCTGTCCATGGAATCACACTCAGTTTTTCCTTAAATTTCCTGAAGTCAGCTCTTCTAAAGTCTAGAATGCATGTTTGACTTCTCTTACTTTCACCCTTCCTTTGTATCACAAACTCTAGGAGCACATGGTCACTTCCACCTAAGGATCTCACCACTTCCAGCAGATGTTTCATACTACCTTATACTCTACATGTGACATTTAAAAAAAGAAACAGATCAATCTCTTATTTTTACACTTAGGGGATTTTTAAAATAAAAAATAAAAAAGATTTTTGTTATGTAGAAAAATACACATAAATGGCAATAACATTGGGGATTATTGCAAAATTATGTGTTAGTGCAAACAGGGACCCAAACACAAATGATATGAGGCCAGCAAGAGTAGCATACAAATAAGCAAAATCAGAAAATTGTTCTAAAATGATCTATAAAAAGGGAGTGGTTGTAGATTAGAGTTTCTGCTATTTACAAATGAAAAATATATATGATGAAATACTGAGTTTGAAGACTCCTTTAGAGAGAGATGAACTTGTGGGATGATCTTTTTTTCTAATCTAGGAAAGGCTTTTTAATCAAACTTGCTAATGTTAAAGGTTAATAGAAAAGTTCCTTAGGTTTCTTACCATTGGACTATTTCATGTCTGGTGGCAATTATGAATAAAGAATCAGGTCCTGAACAATATCAGAAACTGATAAATGTCAGTGTAAAATCTTATCTAAACAAAATGGTGAAAAAACAATTGAACTTATGCTAGTAGGTAATTGAAGCTGTGCTGAATTCTAATTCCGCCCAGTCTGGGAATATGGGAAATTAATGATGTTCTCTCAGGCCTTATTTCAGGGGTTTAGCAATGGAGATACCTCCAAGTAAAAATTCTGCTTCACTAATGAAATTTTCTGTCAGCTCCTATATTTCTAGTACTGCAGTTATTGAAAATTTCATTGGAGCATTTGGAAAAATAGGTTAGGCATTCAAACAAAAGCAGGTGGCAAAGTAATCAAGGGGACCCATCAAATATGAGTTCTCACTGTAAATGATTTTTAATGTTTTCCTTTCTGCAATGCTAAAAACTTGGGCAATGAAGGAAATTTTTTCTGGGAAGATGCAGAATACCAGCTGCATCTCTGCCTAACTTTGTGTTGACACTGAGCTATATGCCTAAGTTGGATTTATGGATCTGGCATGAAGTTAGTTATCTCTTGTACTGCACCTTCTCTTCACAATTTGGTTCTTCAGTCAATAGATAGCAATTCCAATGTCTAATTGCACTATAGGTAAATCTCTGGGCACATCTATATGGGCACCTGTATCCAGAGTCAGTCTGGAGTGCTCATCAGAAGTATTTATATACTCTACTCCTGAACTGTGGCAGCAATGGAATTGGAGTCCAGATTATCTAATCAAGTTGAACTCAGTTCAACCCCACTGGATGGTGATCCTCATATTTGCTGTTGTTCGTCGCTGGGGAGCTCCTGGTTGTAGCAATAATAATAACAATAATAATGAGAAGAGAC